AGAGGTGGATATAGAATGAGGAGAAAGGAAGGAAGGGAGAAGGAGGGGGGTGATGGGAGAGGAAATAAACTTTCTGGAAACAAAATTTCATTAGCCATCAAAATTTGGTAAGTTTAAAACATAAAATAATAATTGATTTTAAAAATCATAGCCACTCCATCCTTCCAATGTTTCAATAGAGCCTTACAAAAAATGTTAAAGTTTTGAATGCATTTTGAGAAGATCACACGCCACCAACATGCCAATATGACGAATGTGATACGAACATGTATGACATAGTCAGGGATAGAATACAATGTAGAATACCTGCAATAAGGTCCTGTGTTCAAAGTCTTCCCTCAACCTACATTATAAAAAGTGTGTTGTGTGTTGTGTTTTGCTTTTAATTATCCTAAAAAAAGATGTCATTTGCCAAAACTGGTTTGGCTCAGTGGATGGAGCGTCAGCCTGTGGACTGAAAGGTCCCAGGTTCGATTCTGGTCAAGGGCATGTACCTGGGTTGTGGGCACATCCCCAGTAGGGTATGTGCAGGAGGCAGCTGATCGATGTTTCTCTCTCATCGATGTTTCTAACTCTCTATCTCTCTCCCTTCCTCTCTGTAAAAAATCAATAAAATATATTTTTTAAAAAAAGATGTCATTTGGACAAAACAAAATTTCACCAACAAGGAGTAAAAGGGAACTTGCATAATCTCATGAAGGTGCTCCCCAAAACCCCACAGTAAGCATCATGCCTACGTGGTGAGATGAACAGGGATGAAGTCTGTTATGTTCTTCCTAGTAAAGTGGAGAACGAGCCAAGGGTGCCCACCTCACTGCTGGTATTCAGTGCTGCCATGGGACCAAGCCAGGCCCATCAAAGTTTATTTTGTATGCCCTTCCTGTATGCGCAGCTCATGGGAAGCAGCCAATAAAAGTAAGCTATTATTACTAAATACTTTAGTTCATTTAATACACTTGAGTAAACTTTTAATTAAGCATACTTAGAAGAATTGAAAAGAAACAAATGCGTCCTTACTCACAGGCCAAGTGATTGTTTAGAAAATGCGTGGTAAATTGGGAAACTAACCAGAGAGTCCAAGGAAGTTTCTGGATGTAGGATCCAGAGCAGGGGCTGAAGAGCCCACGATGGGTGTCCTGAACTTAAGTTCTAAGTAAGCAGATGAGTACAAATTAGAGAAGCAGAAAGACCAAGAAAAGAGCTGAGCCCTAGAATGAAGACCACTAAGTCTTGCTGGTCTTGTTTAGCATCTCCTGCGCATTTGACCAGGAATTGCCCGTGAGTCCCAGCCACACTGGCTCCTGGTTCTAGGGTGCCCGGGTCGCCCTCTCCCACTGTGGTCACCATAGCCACCTGTCTATGCTCACCTGACAAACTGTTGCAACTGGCATTCAAAGAGCCTGAGGAACACAGGCATGGATGTGACAGACAGACCGCCTTCAGCACTGCAATAAGCAATTGCAATGAGCTCCAATTTCTACTTAAAATTACCATTTTCTGTATTTATAAAATCAACTAGAGGCCTGGTGCAAGAATTCATGCACCAGTGAGGTCCCTCAGGGTGTCCTGCAAGGATTGGGCTGAAACCGCAGTCCAATGCCACCTGCAGCTCCTACCTGCCGCTCCCACTCATCCTGGCCCCACTGTGCCTTCCACGGGCTCACAACAAATCAGTCCTGATGGGAGAGGCTCGCGCTGCAGCAGCAGCAGTGCTCACCAGCTGTGAGCCCTTTGTCTGGTGCCCTCCTGAGGGGAGTGGCCTGCAGAATTGAGCCGAAACCAGCTCTCTGACATCCCCTAAGGGGTCCCAGATTGCGAGAAGGCGCAGGTCAGATGGAGAGACCCCACCAGTGCATGATCAGGACCAGGGAGGCACCTCGGGAGGGCTCCAGGGCATGTCCAGCCCATCTCGCTCAGTCCCGATCGGCCAGACCCAGCAGCAAGCTAACCTACCAGTTGGAGCATCTGCCTCCTGGTGGTCAGTGAACATCATAGCGAGCGGTTGAGCAGCCTTAGCATATCATTAGCATACAGTGGGGCCTTGACTTACGAGTGTCCCAACTAACGAGTTTTTCGAGATACGAGCCGTCTCTCGGCCTATTTTTTGCTTTGAATTGCGAGCTAAAATTTGGGCGATGAGCCAGCTTCAGGTACCCCACCGCTAGTTGGTGCAGCAAATGTCACAGTGAACGCCACAACATTAGCCCAGCATCACGTGTCTCACTCGTTCACTTTAAGATTTGACATGCGAGTAATTTGAGTTATGAGCTCCATCATGAAATGAATTAAATTCGTAAGTCAAGGCCCCACTGTATTATACTTCAATTGGTTGAACAGTTGACCAGTCACCAGATGACCAGACACCTAGCATATTGGGCTTTTATTATATAGGGTTTTAGATGATCCCACCATGAGAGAGAAGCAGTACTATAATCTACAACTACCAATAATCTCTAATGCACTTGGTTTGGAATGTATTACAGATCTTTATCGTAGGAATACCTTCCCAGTGAAGTTTTCTTGCACTACCCTTAAAATAAGACTTAATAACCTGAATAGAAGAAAGACTGGTAACAAAAAAGAATGACCCAGTAATGTGTTGGAATGCAACGTTTTGCCCAATGAGTATCATTAAGTTGGACGGCCTATAGTGAAATACTTGAACTTCAACAACCTCAGGAAGGATGCCAGATAAAAAGGACACCGTTGTTGAGCTCTGAAGCCATAGATTAATATAACCCTGGTAAAGTGAAATAACACAGTGGCAGGTGTGAAAGACTTGAGTGGCTTCCATTTGGCCCCGGCCACCGCAGACAGCCCGCGAAAGGAAGCTCCGCGCCCTCTCTGTTCTTTCATATTCTTGGGGCAAAGGCTTTGGTGATGACATTGCCATGGCTTTCCTTACACTTGGGCTCTATGCCACTGGGCCTGTTTCTGTCATAATTCCGAACGCACTGTCCAGTGTAGCAGCCCCCAGTCACGCATGTTTCCTGAGCCCTTGACCTGCAGGTATGTGATAAGGACAAGATACACACTGGACTTCAAAGACTTCACACGATAAAAAGAATATACAATCTCCTTCATAATTTTTACATTGGTTAATGTTGAAATAATCTTTTTTATGAGCCAAGTAAAATGTCTTATTAAAATTAATTCCACCTGGTTATTGTCATTCTTTTCAATGTGGCTACTAGGAACTTTTAAATTACATATATGGCTCACTGGCAGCTCACGTTGCATAATCACTGGGCAGTGCTGGTTTAGAGAGACAAATGGTATTCTAAACGATGTATGTATAATATGCAACATCTTAGACAAGCATGTCGTTTAAATGAACGAGGCATGGAGCCTGCCAGCCGCGAGCTTGACATACTTGGAAAACATTAGTCAATATGATTATAAGACCCTTTGTGTGTCGTTGGATGGAAAAGTCCTATGGAGGCAGGTATAATATTATAACAATAGTATAAAAGAGGCCTCATTTATTGAGTTCCAGCTTTTGACTGGGATACTGCTAAGTGCTTCAGATAGATTATCTGTAATCCTCCCAACAGGGAGAAATAATTTGGACCAGAGACTAAGTCATTTGGCCCAGCTCACACAGCGAGGAAGTGCTAGAGCCAGGCTCTGAATGGAGGTCTGCCCAAGGCCAAGGCCTGTACCCCGTGGTTCTTCAAGGAAAGAAACTGGGAGAGGCCTGTTTGGAAGTGACCTTCTCTTTTGAAGTGGTTGCTATCCACCTTGGGCAGGGACTACCCATGCCATCCATCGGTCATTACGAAGCTGCTCCCCTGAGACCAGACTGGTGATTGCCAGAGGGAAGGGGGTGGGGGACTGGGTAACAGAGGTGAAGGGATTGAGAAGTACAAGTTGGTAGTTACGGAATAGTCGCAGGGAGTACGGTGCTAAGTGAGATAAGCCAGTCTGAGAAAGACAAATACCATATGATTTCACTTACGTGTGGAATCTAATGAACAAATAAACAAACAAAATAGAAGCAGGCTCATAGATACAGAATAGCCAGGGGTGTAAAGCACTCCATAGGGAATACAGTCAATAATACTGTGATAACTCCGTATGGTGCTGGGTGGATACTGAAAATACCAGTTTGTAATGTATATGATTATCCAATCACTGTGCTGTACACTGGAAACCAATACAAAACAATACTCAAAGTCACCTGTCACTGAAAATGTAAGCAAATTTTTAAAAATTAAGAAGGTGCTCTATTCTGCTCTGGACTCGTAGAGTGGACAGTTTTGAAAGGTAGCACATCTACCCAACCCGCCTGGGGCCCCTGCTCACCCTGCTCTGCACAGGAGTGGCTCCGGGATCTGCGGGGCACCCAGCAAAGCCTGCCCGCGACAGCAACACATGGCGCCACGTGAGGTGGCACCAACGAGATGAGTGCCCCTGTGTATCCCATCGTCTGGCCTGACCTGACTCCTGTCCACTCTTGGAAAACGCCGCAGTCACAACAGCACTAATTGATGGGCAGCGCTGGGATACGGGGGAGGAAGCAGCCTGCAGCCAAAGGGGCCATGACACAGCCACGGAGAGAAGCGGCTTGTCAGAAAGCCGAGACCGACTGCCAACAGACAGTCTCTCAACCCGAAGTACCGCCTGCCTCCGAGCTCTGGGAAATCAGGCACGCGAGCTCCGCACCCTTCGTCCCCTTCTCCCCAGCACGCTCCTCGCCGACCAACTGATGGAAGTCTACAGACATCTGCTCGGCCCACCACAAGCGCCCACCACAAGCAATTTGCTCCCTGTAGAGCTGGAAAGTGTGGGTGCTGGGTGGCGGTGCTGGGGTGGGGGTGGGGGGCGGGGGATGCGGGGAGATGGCCAGAAAAAAAACACACGCAGAGAAAGCACTGTGACATTCAGACATGAGCCTGGGACTCTCCGAATGGCTCAGACGGGACACTGTGTCACCTCTGGTTTAAGCAGGGGGCTGTTTTCAGAATGCTCGCGGCCTCGGCTCGCCATCAGGCACTTACGTAATCCTCCTCATGGAGCCCTTGTTTCTCCACAGAACTCTTCACCTCCATGGAAAACTTCTCAAACTCGGGTTTCACTGTCCTCAGCAGCGTGACTGTTTGGAGGGATGAGTACGCCTGCTTCGCTTCAAAGTCATGTTTGTCTCCTCTCTTCCACGAGCCATCTCCTACGGGAGAAATGAAAATATTGATCATTCCAAGCCAGTCACCATAAAGGGCCCTTTCTCCCTTCCCAACTGCCATGTGTCTCGACAGGTTACTAGGGGCAGCCGGGGCGAGAGGTATTGTCATGGTCTTGCACTTGGATACCATGTGACAACGAGCATCACGATCCTCAAAGAAGAAGGCCCTCGGACACATGTCCCTTTGAAATGTGAGAGAAATAAGAGCTCTGTGGCCTCAACTACTTATAGTCACCGTGAAATTGTACTTTCAGTCCCCGAGAACAGCAGGATGGGCGGTGCAGGAAGTAAGTTTCGCCCAGCTGGTGTGGCTCAGTGGTTGAGGATTGACCTAGGAACCAGGAGGTCATGGTTCAATTCCCAGTCAGGGCACATGCATGGGTTGCAGGCTTGATCCCTAGTACAAGGCGTGCAGGAGGCAGCCAATCCATGATTCTCTCTCATCATTGATGTTTCTCTCTCTCTCTCCCTCTCCCTTCCTCTTTGAAATCAATAAAAACACATTTTTTAAGAGAAGTAAGTTTCACTCCTTCTCATTCACACTCAGCTGTTAATCCCCACAATCAACGGGGGAGGTCAGCCAAGCTGTTGCTTTGGTGCCATCGGCCTGACCCTGGGCGGAGGGGGTGGCAGGAATGGCTATGTGACGACGGGTGTGCGAAGGGTGAGAGAGGTGGCACTGCTAAGGCAGACACGTTTCAGATTAGCAATAGTTCTTGAAGCATTCTGGAACCTCTTCAGAGTGAGAAGTCGTTTAGGTGAGCGTGAGGGCTTAGCACTGGCAACACCGTCACATTATTTACAGGACGGTGTTCACCAGTGCATCCGTGAAATGAAAACTGCTCCCACGCACTGAGCAGATAGATAGTAATCATGTCTCACTATCGAGCACTTTATAGTTAGAAACTCACTTCTTCCTCCCAGGACCCAGGGATGTGGGTACAATGATCGCCTCGATTTCACAGAGAGGAAACCAAGGCACGGGAAGCTGGGTGCCCCGCTGCCTCCCAGCTCTCCCTTCACAAAAGCAAAGGCAAATGACGTGGGTGAAAACCAGCACTTTCTATTATTTCGCTTTTTTAGAAAATACGTGGCCTTCAGCACCCCAGAAGGAAATGTGGCCGTCCAGGGTTGGACAATAAGCTGATGCTTCCATGAATTGTTGTTGTGATCCCTGGAGACCTGGGAACACAGCAGGGAAGTCAGCCCCTGGAGTCCGACTCCAAAGTCATGTGTTCGCACTGAACCCAGGCCCCTGGCAGAGGCCTGCAGCCCGGCGGCCGAGCCCTGAGGATGGTTCCGGAGTCTGAGTCCGAGGCCCCTCTCCACTCTTACAGAAAAGGAGCTGGTGGCCTTGGGATTTCCGTCACGGCTGAAGCCGGACAACAGGGGGTCACTGAGCCCTGGTCAGAGGGCCGTGGGAGCCATCCCCGTGGACTTCATAAGTGTCTTGAACAGTCTCCACCCCCTTGGAGAAAAGGAGTAGAGACAGACGGGTGACAGCTGAGTTATTAGAGGTGGCAGCTCCCTGGGGAGAATGAGGGGAGGGGGTACAGTGCAGGGTGTAGAGGAAGAGGCAGCCAGCTCCGAGGAAGGATTTTAACAGGCGGCGAGGAGGACGAGAAGGCTCGCCAGGCAGAGCAGGAGGCACAGGCTAAGGTGCAAATGCAGCAGCAGCAGCTGTTCAACAATAAGTAAGACAGAGCCACGGGCAAAATTCATTAAGGGCTGGATCTGTGCTCAGTGAGCAGAGCCTAAATGTCAAGCCACCCAACAGGACCTGACAAAGTCCTCCTCCTCCCACACGAAGCCTCCCCAACACGGAGGAGGCCTGGTGTGAGGAGCAGCCCGATGCCTGTGCTCAGAGAGGGAGCTGCGGTTCGGCCGCCGGGGACCAGCTGCTGTCAGGAAGGCCCCACAGTGTGGAGATGCCCAGAACCTCTGCCCGCCGTGGAGGAAGCCATTCCTCAGAGGCCTGCGATCAATGCTTATTGATTCGTTTCTCATTGATTTGCGGTGCCAAGACTCAGCAGGAGTGGTGTGTCTGAGGCAAAGAGGGTGGAGTTTCTCAGCTGGGGGTTGGGAGGGGAGGGCTCTCTCCTGGGAAAATTTAACCCTGCCAGCGCCAGTGCTGGGCTGTGCAACTAGAGCAAGCACAGGGCGCTGGAAACAGCCACCCTCTGCTACTACAATAGGGAAAACCTTTTTATTTTGAAAGAAATGAAATCCAGTCCAATAAATCTGTCTGCCATCATCTAAACATAAGCCTGGCCAGCGTGGCTCAGTGGGTTGAGCATCAACCTAGGAGCCAGGAGGTCACGGTTCAATTCCCGGTCAAGCGCACAGGCCTGGGTTGCAGGCTTGATCCCCAGTATGAGGCGTGCAGGAGGCAGCCGATCCATGATTCTCTCTCATCACTGATGTTTCTGTCTCTCTCTGTCTCCCTTCATCTCAGAAATCAATAAAAACATATTAAAAAATAAAAGATAATGATTTTGAAGTTTTGTTTTCTGGAAAAAAAAAAGAATGGAAACAATAGTGCATAATAAGCTTAAGCCAAAATAAATAGGTGTCTAGTCGCAAACATAACTGACCTAGGACTTGCTGCGGTGGGTTTCTCAGTGGCTTGTGTCAGTAACGCCTCCCACGGGGCTGCTGGGCACGAGAGAAGCAGAGGTCGGCTTGGCGCTTGGCGTGTGGGACACATTTAATTCCACAGACAATGGAGGCCCCGGAGATTTATGAGTGGAACGGAGATGCATGATCAGAACCAGGCCTGGGAAATGGCGATGGATTAGGGTGGGGGGCACCGAGGGTTCCCAGCCACAGGCATCCAGGTGAGAGGTTCCATGTGGGGAGTCATACCACCCAAATTAACCGCGGTTCTCTGGGTGGTGGGAATCATGGGCAAGTTTTTCTCTTTCTTCCCTTTTCTTTCCCTTTCTTTTGTCTGGGGTGTGTTTTTCTGAATCTAGGAAACGTTCCCTCATAATTAGTTACTGCTCTTGTAATCACAAAACAGGCAGGGCCTGGGAATGCAAGCAGAGGGCGGCGCAAGAGGAATCTCAAGACTCCGCAGAGCGAGGGAGTGAGGGACAACAGGAGAGGCGTCAGCGGTGATGCGTCAGCGGTGATGCGGGGGGAGGGGGGGGGGAGAGAAGGGGCTGTCATTAGAGGAAAGAGCAGAGTCAGATGGAGGAGGCGGATGGACATCATAAGGGTGTCAGTTAGGGTCACGGTCAACCCAAGGTGACGGCCTGCAGAATGCCCGGTGGCGGCACCAGGCTGGGTGGGGAACAGCAGTCTGAACAGAAAGAGGGGTGAAGGCTCGAGGAATGTGGGTGTCATTTCTACAGCCTGAGGGTCAGAACCAGGGGCTGACTGCACTGGGTGAGAGAGTGCAGGGGAGCGGGGAGGAGGGCTGGCACCAGCACTTGGGGAGGCTGTTTTTGGGGGGCAGGAAGACGGGGAGACAGGAGCTCACAGAGAACCAGAAGTAGCCGGTGCCACCAACGCTCGGGAAAACAGGGCTTCCAGGAAGAAATGGCTGGAAACGTCACTGACTGCGCTGAGCTGACCCATCTAGCCCAGAGTCACTAGCCACACGGGTGACTGGTTCAACGTAAATTAATTAAAATTAAACAAAATTTAAAACTTTGTTTTTCCATTGCACTTGCTACATTTGCGCAGAAAGGAACACATCCTGTGCTCCCCGAGTTCTCAGAAGATGGGAAAGTTCCCAACAGTCCCAGCAGGATTGCCCCAGTGCCTTCCACCCAACTCACTGCAAAGAAGACGCCACCATGGTACTAACAAAAACTCAAGGGGGCAACGTACGTCATCTTCTCTCCAGATCAGGGGTCCTCAAACTACGGCCCGCGGGCCATGTGCAAATACAAATATTGTATTTGTTCCCATTTTGTTTTTCTACTTCAAAATAAGATATGTGCAGTGCGCATAGGACTTTGTTCATAGTTTTTTTTTTTAAACTATAGTCCGACCCTCCAACAGTCTGAGGGACAGTGAACTGGCCCCCTGTTTAAAAAGTTTGAGGACCCCTGCTCTAGATTTTGTAAATCTATCCTTTCAGTCTTATGTTCCATCATTCCAGTTCCCCCATAATATAAGCTGAGCTCCTGTAATAATATAACTCAGGCAGACATGAGAGTATCTGTGAGCGCTAATCAGGATCAAACAACCTAGTAATCAGTCAATATGAACACACTGTCAAAATGTTTTTAAAAAATCCAATATCAAGGCAAGGGAGGGGATGGGAGGTGGGTAAGAGATCAATCAAAGGTCTTGTATGCACACATATAAGCATAACCAATGGACACAGACAGTAGGGGGTGAGGGCGTGTGCTGGGGGGCGAGAGCGGGAGAGGGGGAGGTTAATGGGGAAAAAAGGAGACATGCAATACTTGCAACAATAAAGAATTTAAATTTTAAAAAAAGAAAGAAAAAATCAAATATCAATTAAATACTAATTGAAATAGAACCTTTCTCTAGAACGGGCATTAGAGCTCCGTGTGAGGGCGCACAGGGAGAAGGGCGCTGCAGAACTCGGCATGAACATGCAGGATCCTTAGGGCACCACGTTCTGGAGAAGGCCCTTTCCTGACGATGGGCACCAGGGCCCAGGGCGCTGCTCAGGGCCACTCTGCCGGCCACAGGCTCTGTTCACGGCCTCTGCTCTGAGGAGGAAAGCTGCTTCGGGGTCTGGGACCAACATGGACAGGGGCCTCTCTACCTGCAGCCATCGTCCCTTCTTCCTAACGACTCCTGCGCTGATCAGGGGTTGCGGTGAGTCCAGCTACAAGTACACATTTCCTGACCCCGCTCACAAGGGGGGGCAGGCAATGCTGTGTAGGCAGGAGTTAGTGAGGGGCTTCCAGAGAGCTCTTCACACAGAATTGAGTCAGCTGCCTCTCATCTTCCCCTTTGTCTCGCCTGGAATGAAGACATGGCCCCTGGAGCCCTCACTGTCCTCTTGTGTCACTGGGGTTGGGTGTAATTCACTATGACTGAGGGAGCGGAAAAACAGAAGGAGCTTGTGGAACCCAATGAACAAAATAGCCCGATGAGCAAAATAGGTCCAGAGACATAGAAGCGCAGAACAGACAGACACGGCTCTCAGAGGGAAGGCGGGGGTGGGGCGTGGGGGCACTGAACGTGGCAGAGTTCAAATGAGGAAAAAATGCGAATCTTTGCTTATGGACGTGAAAAGAAATTAAAATAAGTAAAGTAATTTAACAGTGAGATGACAAAGATGTAGGAAAACAGACCATCTCATACACTGTGGCAAAGTGTAAATTGGTAAGCTCTCTAGAGCAGTGATGGCGAATCTGTGACACGCGTGTCAGAGGTGACACGTGAACTCATTTTTTTGGTTGATTTTTCTTTGTTAAGTGGCATTTAAATATATAAAATAAATATCAAAAATATAAGTCTTTGTTTTACTATGGTTGCAAATATCAAAAAATTTCTATATGTGACACGGCACCAGAGTTAAGTTAGGGTTTTTCAAAATGCTGACACGCCGAGCTCAGAAGGTTCGCCATCACTGCTCTAGAGGATAACTTGGCAATATCTAACAAAACTTAAATGCATGTAACCGTTGACCCAGAAATTCTTCTAGAAATTTATCTTACAGAACAAATGTGTGTGTGTGTTTGTGTGTGTGCACGTGGACATACAGGCATGCACACTCAATTAGCCTCGTTCTGGGAGCAACACAAATATTTAAAAATAGGAGACAGAAAAAGTAAAGATGACATGTCGACATTATAAAATACTGTGCAAATAATTCATTAAATTGTATATATTTGTTTTATATTTTCAATGCATTCTTAATCTTTAATAAAGAAATAGAAACAATAAATAAATAAATAAATAAAATACTGTGTACCCATACTATAGCGATCATTTTATTTAAAAAATTTTTGTAAAACCCTGACTGGTTTGGCTCAATGGATAGAGTGTCAGTCTGCGGACTGAAGGGTCCTGAGTTTGATTCTTGTCCATGGTACATGCCTGGGTTGCAGGCTCGATCCCCAGTGGGCTTGTCCATGGTACATGCCTAGGTTGCAGGCTCGATCCCCAGTTGGGGGGGAGGGGAGGGGAGGCATGCAGGAGGCAGCCGATTATTGCTTCTCTCTCATCATTGATGTTTCTATCTCTCTCCCTCTCTGAAATCAATACAAATATTTTTTTAAAGAAAGAAATTGAATGCTTTCCATCGCCTATGTTGATGCCTCCTGAGCTTCTACATGGGAGCTTAACTAATAAGTAATCTGAAATGAAGGGGGGCTGGGAGCAGAGGCTTTCAAAATGTTGCACCTCAGTTTACAGTAATGATTGTTTTCTTTCTTTCATATTGTGGCCCATTACAAACATATGAGTAACATGCATACATATATACACATGAACATATCCTATATAATAAGAGCCTAATATGCAAATCAACTGAAAGGCAGAACCACAGGTTGGCGGGGGGCAGGGCCAGTGAGTAGGCAGCGCCAGGCCAGCCAAGGTAGGGAGTGGGCCTAAGCCATCAGTCGGACATCCCCCAAGGGCTCCCAGACTGCGAGAGGGCACAGGCCGGGCTGAGGGACCCCCCTGAGTGCATGAATTTTCATGCACCGGGCCTCTAGTTACTAACATAAAAGTTTTATGAAATAATACATATGCTATGTGAGACCCACTTTGACGAATCCTATTCCATTACATTGATATGTTCTAGTCCCATGGTCGGCAAACAGCGGCTCGTGAGCCACATGCGGCTCTTTGGCCCCTTGAGTGTGGCTCTTCCACAAAATACCGACTTCTGTGCATGGTCCACGAAGTTTCAATCACACTGTACGTGCGCGCCCGCACGTGGTATTTTGTGGAAGAGCCACAATCAAGGGGCCAAAGAGCCGCATGTGGCTCGCGAGCCGTGGTTTGCCAAGCCGCAGTTTGCCGACCACTGTTCTAGTCTATCCCATCCTATTAAAAATTATCCCAGCAGTCCATCTGGAGGCAACCTGCAGTTGGAAGTGCACAAGGCAGGGGTCTGTAGGCCTGGATTTAAGACCATCTGGAGACAGATGCCCTGGCATCAGGGGTTATGTGGGATCTTCCTTGTTGAGTTCTCAGAGAAGCAAAGCTTGAGAACTTAGAAGTCACAACTGTGTTCAGGATCCCAAATTTCTAAACTCCTAGCTATGAAAATGAAATCTGTCGACATAACTCACATTATTGGCTCTCTCCTGCCCCTTCCTGACACCCCAGCCCGCGAGGGAAGGGGCCGCGTTACCGTAGGAGGAGCTGTTGAAGAGCTCGATGTTGAAGAAGGCGTAGTCCCCGCTGGTCATCCCGTGTCTGTGCGCCGCCAGCATGATGCCCCGGATGGTGTCGCTGCTCGCACACATGATCACCACTGGGAGGGAGGAACAACAACACGTGTGAGACGCCCTGTAGGACACAGTGAGGACGCCGAGACCAGCAGGGGACGGCCGGCAAGGCGCGGGGTGCTCACATCCCCCCAGTGTCCTCATGAACACATATGGATTGCCAAGGGGAAGAGCAGTAACATGACAGTGGAGAAATGCAGAGGATGCCACCATAGCCAAGGATGGAACCAATGTCACCAACCCGAGGAAGAGACTCTTGAGCCTCCGGATGTAGCCCACCCAGGACCAAAGCCGACTAAGTGGGTGACTTGTACCTAACGGGGGGGGGGAGCGGCCAGTGTGGGGACAGTCTGTAGGAGAGTTGGCCTGTGCGCCTTGAAATGGTCAAGTTCGTGACCAACAAAGACAGGCTGGGGGAATGTCCTAGACCAGTGGTTTCAACCTTCTGGCCCTTTAAACACAGTTCCTCATGTTGTGACCCAACCATAATATTATTTTCGTTGCTACTTCGCAACTGTAATGTTGCTACTGTTATGAATAAGAATGCAAATATCTGATATGCAGGATGGTCTTAGGTGACCCCTGTGAAAGCGTTGTTCGACCCCCAAAGGGGTGGCAACCCACAGGTTGAGAACCGCTGTCCCAGACGAAAAGACACAGAAGAACAGAAAGCTCAGTGCAATGTGTGCCTCTCGAGTGGACCCTGGCCCTTTAAAAAATAATAAGAAAAGTTTTGCTATAAAGGGCATTATTGAGACAACTGGGGAAACCTGAATAAGGTCTGAAAACCAGGTAACAGTATTGCATTTGTTTTTTCACAGTTCTGCTGTGGATGTGTAAGTGAATGTCCTTTTCCTGAGGAAACACACCTAAGTATTTAGGAGTCAATGAGCATGACGGCTGTACTTACTCTCAAATAGCTCCTTACAAGATAGTAATGTGTCCGTGTGGTGTACATGTGTACGTATTTGGAGGGAGGGGAGGGGAGGG